CCCCAAAACCCCAAAACCCCAAAACCCCAAAACCCCAAAACCCCTCAATGGTTTGCTAGGTAAGATAAATAATATAATAATTACTTTCCTTTTCTCTCAAGCCTAATGGTCAAATTCCTTGGGGCGCTTGAAATATGGTCTAATTTCTGGATAACCAGGTTTAGCTGCTTAATAAGCTCCTCTGGAGTTGGGGTCTCTTTGAACTTCACTGTTTTGATGAAGGCAGTCTGGAAAAGCTTGGCAATATGCCTCGCAGCCTCCATCTCGATCCTTGAGTCACCTCATGCTATTATATTCGTGATCATTGAAGATTCTAGGTCTTTTTGGATGTTCGTGAAGGCTTGCATCTTCCACTCGTAGGAGTCACCTGGGAACTGTAGTTCAAAGAGACTACGAGCTGAGATAACTTCAACATCAGAGAGAGCGGAGTATACTTTGGGCATATACTTTTTGCTACTAAATTGGACCCATCCTTCTGCTGCGTTAGTGACAATATATGTTTTACCATGCTTTACAGATGCTACTATCAATTTCTCAACTGCTTTTTCAAGTTTTTCTAAATGTTTTTTGGCCATTTCAGGTATCTCTACGTCCTCTTCGTAAAACCCAGTAGGGTTTAGGAAGGAAGTACACAAAAGAGTGTCATCCCAGTCATAGATAAAGACAGTTTGATGAGACTCAGGCTTTTCTGAAGGTGTCAGCCATATCTTTTGATATGTCAGTTTGCTTAATAAATCTTGTCGAATTCTATCACCTGAGCGAGCCATTATGGGAGTGTTCAATAAGTCAAGTCTCCAGTTTCCGCTTTCAGTGGTCTCATAACTCTCAACAGTCACTTGGTTAGGGCTGTCAAGCATACTCAACTTTCTGTTTCTATCGCGCGCTTTTAGCTTTTTGGGCTTTTTGGCTAATTTTTCAGCAGTGCTCTCTTCAGCCTTGGTACTTTCTTCAGCTTTGCTTTCTTCTCAACTTTTAAGCTCTTCTGGGAGGATTTCACTCTGAGGAGTTTTCTTCTCCTCGTCTTTAAGCTCAAGAGGAGGGTCTGTTTTTAGCTCTGAAGAGGATGATTTTCTGATCTTGCCCAAGTCTTCCTCCTCTTCGATAACCTTTTTAGTCGGGGGATAGAATTTGAAACCGGTGGACATATTCGGCTTTCTCTCTATTCCAAGTTTGGAGTAGTATCCTTTCTTATACTGATGCTCTTTTGCAGGCCCTTCTGTGCTATCTTTGGCTATACAGCTTTCTACATCAAGAGTTCCTTTACGAGCCTTTTGTGTTTCTTTGGCTAGTTTTGAATATACCTTATTTTTCAGAAAGGCGAGCAGAGGCATTAGCCTGTGCAGCCTTTAAAAACTTCTCTTCATCATTTGAGGAGTCAGATCTCTCCTCAACTTCATCTATATTGGCATGGCTGAGCTTAGTGTTCTCTATTTTGGCTGAATTGCCCATATTGATTCATTCTTGGTCTGGATTAAGGAGGGTATCTGATTTGAGAGTTCTAGTCTTGTATCTGAGGTTAGCAGTGAATCCTGCATCATCAAGACTGACATTTTCACTATATTTCCTTCTAGATTTTTTAAATCCCTTCTTGCTGCGGATGCTAGCGCTGTCTTTAGTTTGACCAGGGGGTTCTAGGACTGTACCCATTTTTAATTTTTATACCAAGGGAATGCTTTTCTATAATCTAAAATTTTAATGGGGTTTTGGGGTTTTGGGGTTTTGGGGTTTTGGGG